TTAAAGGGGAAGTCAAGTCCGTAATGTAAACAAACGGTTTGTTTACATTTTGAACTGCTGTATTTTTTTAAATATGATGTACTGTCTGAAAATCTAACACCATTTTGGTTCGTTATGCTTCTACATGAATATGAAATAGAGTTTGTGTTCAGAAAAATTCGAAACATTCAAAATTTGGGCAATGTTTACCTCAGAGGGCCCTCTATTGTTATGCGCAGAACCGATGCGCAGAACGGACTTGACTACCCCTTTAATACTAACACACGCCCCATATGATTTGAAAAACCGTCGTGAAATCTGTCAACACCTGTTCGGTCTACGTACGTGACCTGAAACCTTCAGTTGATAATATTGGCATTGACGAAGATCCGGTGCCAAGCGAAATTTATGACCTCCGCGAAATATGCGACCAAGCGTGACGGGGCATATATTTCGCACGTGTAAGCCATTAATGCATGCATGCAATTACTAAATATATATATGAGTTGGTCACGAAACAAAATTAAAATTTTCTAGGTTCAAATCGTAGGCTTAAATCGTTCAAGTCGATGTTTATAACAATGTCAGCATTGCATCCTCGTTCAAAAATTGTTCAACTCGATATCGCCAAGGCCCAAAGACATACATGTTGACCAAGAGTAACAATTAATATCGTGCTTGATATATAATAGGGGTGCAATATTAAACACTTTAAAACTGAATATATATAAGCGAGTGAATTTAACTAAACTAAACTTTAGCCATCACTCGACAGTTTCTATTTTATTCAAAAAATTCATACCGGCCTATTACTCATTTTCATTTTGACTAAATTTGAAGGGATTTAAATTAAACGAATTTTAATATGTATAGCTACCGATATATTTGTAAGCCTCAATTAGAAGACACTGTCTCGCTCGAGAAATCTATATAACGACTTATTTTTCACCCTGCTCGGTTTCCTTTGTTCTTGTCGGGGAATATATTCAATATTCCCCTCTAATCAATTTCCGTTTAATAATCCCCTCTAATATTCACCTGCAATTAATAATCCCCTCTAATATTCACCTGCAATGTCTTTGCAGCACAAAAAATGAGAATAAACAACATCGCGAAGGCAATATGGCATTGAGAATTATTTCTTTTCTGACTCATTAACGCGACCTCGCAGTGTGAAAAATAAGTACGTTATTTTGAGGCACCTCGGGGATATGTGTTTATTCACCTCGGCGCTGCGCGCCTCGGTGAATAAATCACATATCCCCTCGTTGCCTCAAAATAACCTATACGTATTTCCCTTTTCGGAAAACGGCATAAATTCAGCTGGGACGCCGCGGAACGACGTCAAGGCAAGGGGGGCTGAATTTCACGGTGGGGAACTTTTCAACGGGTCCATAAATTTAGAATTATTGCCTTCGGATAATACACTTCGGAAACCACCAAAATGAGCGATTTCGTTGTCAAAACCTCGAATTATTAATAATTATAATTTATGCTGTGTTTTGTTGGCAAACCGGCGCGAGGTGTGAAAACATTCATCAAATAAAATGTACGGAGAGAATCAGAGAAATTCAAGAGAGAAATTCACTACGAAAATTCCCTGAAAATTTTGACTTAAAAATTTGAGTAAATAATCAATGCACTGCAGTGACTAAAATTGTTGCGGAGTAAATTTGCTTATATGTTTGAGCAAATTTTTTTAGTAAAGTTTCAAGTTTACTAGAGTAAACTGTTTACCGGTTACGCAAAAATGATTAAATTTGCCCAAATATAAATTTTGAGTGTTTTTACTCAATATTCAGTTAAGTCACCACGTGCATTATTTTACTCACAATATTTTGAGTAAAATTTTTTTGCAATGTTTTTCAAATAAAAAACAATCTCATTACCATTAATTGTTGACGAAACAGGCCTTAAAATATCGGTCGGTCACGAACATTGTCCGACCCATTCGTGAAATTGTCCGACGTAGAGAGGAAGCCACCGGCCGGACATTCTGTCCGACCAAAGTGAAATTGAGGAATTGAAATTGGCTTGTAAATAAGTATGAAAGAAACAAATTATTTAATATCTTTACAACATTTACCGTTTATTCATTTGTGTCATTCAGACTTATTTCCAAGTCAAAACTGAACTGAAGGTCATCGGACATATGTCCGACCCAAACTCAACGTCACCGGACATTTTGTCAGATGGCCCTGGAAAAGATATTTTAAGGCCTGCGAAATATCAGCGAACAACGAGAGCGATCGGTGCATGTGCGTACTGCAATACGTGGTATTTCCAGCACTGGCAATCAATTTTTTTATTATTATTCGTCATGCAAAACTACAAAGAGCCATGGCCACATTGTTCTACTATTTTTAATAATCTTAGTGTCGTAATTCATCTCTTAGATTAAATTTTCCCTGCCCACTAACATTTTACCATGTAAAAGTCTGGACCATATAGGTATCGCATTTTTTTGTGGACAACCTGTATTAGGGAGCGGTCAGCGGTCATTATTTATGCTGGGGGTGGCACTGAAGAGAAACGTTTTTCGTGGCAAAAATGTTGCTGACCCAACCATTAAAAAGTAAAAAATTTGGTTACCCAACCTCAAATATCAATTAAAAAAGAAATACCCACCCCTGGCCAAAAACTTCACAAACGGATACCATTATTCAGTTGTCACACATGTCCTTTACCACTTCTGTGACATGAGTTTGATAACGGAATGTGAAATTTTCTGCAGTCTAAAGTTTCATGTTGTCTGCACATGCATGTACTTTCTTTGGAGACACCATTTGTCTCTCAACAAATCGGAAAATGATCAAGATAGTGACTCTGATTGATTCACATATTGTATCGACATATGACTGTTGACATTGCTTTTTAGTCTCCAATATTTCATGATCAGTGGGTCATGCTTTGAAAATGACAACAAATTTTTATTACCCAACCCTTGAGTTGTTTTCTTTTTCATTTACCCAACCTTTTACTTACTCAAAATTTTGTTTACCCAACCCTTTTCTCTTCGGTGCCACCCCGCCATAAATAATGACCAGTACCTTATACACTTCCATAATTCGACAAACTACTCACCCAAGTTAAGTGCCACATTCCTTGTAACTTAAAAAACACAACATTCGGTCCTTGGTAGAAAACTGGATCCAAAGCTTCCCATACTCCTTCTTCACTGTATTTATCAACTGAGGTTAAACCACACTTGGTGAATAAACTCGAAGCATTTATTGCTGTAGTCAGACCATATGATTGAATACTAAGGATAGGCAGGGGGTCATCGTTAGTGTCCCATGTCCAGCCACTTCGCCACGTCCATGAACCAAACACAAATTCACAACCTGCAGAATAAAACCTCTATATCTCATATAAATCGGCACGGGGTTCCGATCCATTGTAGGTAGTGTTCAATAATTAACGACTATTTTGTTAACTACATGTGTTTTTCTATCTTTATCGATCAGATCGTTAACTATTGTCTACTACTGCATGAAGTAAATGACAAACTAAGTTTAAAAGATTTCTATTTCTGCCGTACACTGAGTGGCACGGCATGCATGCATCATGGTATAGTCGATAAATGTCACAAAACTTTATATCTCAATATTACTGATAAATGAAAAGCCAGAGGAGGCTGTGCGTCTCTCTGCGGGGGGTTGAATCATTTTTTCAGTTTTGGAAAGCCGGAGAACTGCATACATCAGTGTCAGGGCCGACGCCGTACACAGCGTGGAGGCAAGGGGGCAGATGCCCCCATAGAAAACTATATTTACGATTTTTAGAATGTCATTATTATTATTCTTTGGATATTTGGGACTTTTTTCGGCATATAGGCCTTATATACTGCCCCCCCCCTGGTGAAAAAATCCTGCGTACGGCCCTGACCAGTGTTCAAGTAGTTTGAGTTTCCGATAAAATCTATCAGTGCATGTGTGGTTTTGATTGTCCTGCGATATAACTATATTCTCATGTTCTCAAATAGCCTGCGAATACAGACGCCTCACATCGGAAGAACATCCCATGCCAATATAAATATATTATGTAACTTCTATATCAAGGGTAATTTAAATTTGAGTTTTAATGATTTGAGAAGGAAAATATTGATCAGCCGTTATTAAGTCGAATGACCAGGACAAGAGAATGCATGCTCAAATAATTAGGACTTTTGGAATGAGTTTCAACTATCAGTACTCCGCAGTTCATCCGGAGCAGCACGACACAAGGGGGGCTATAATTGAACTTAAATTCAAATTGTGAACTTGAATTAAATTAAAAGGGAATGTCAGTAAACTCAATTCAGATTACCTCCTCTTACGGTTAACTGTTCAGCAACGGAGCAACCGAGGACACTGTTTAAATGGCTACATGAATAATTGAACAAAATAGCAAAATACGAAACAATTTCGAATTTTCACCAATTTGGAAGAGGGCAACATAAAGATAAAGGTAAGAAAGAACAGCTATTATACCTATATGATTCGAATGTGATATGGCAACGTTCCAAACTGTGATATTACTATATAGTTTCGAACGTCTGACGAGCGACACACCTGCCGCATATATACTCCTCCGTTTAATTTCCTGCTGACTGTCACCCATGGTGATAAAGTTTTAATACCGAATACCGACTGGGAACTGACATACCTTCTCTAAAATCTCTCTCATCCATACATTTCGTTTCACTCACAATGTAGCTTGACGTATCCTCCGAGCAACGACATTGAAACAAACACAATCCAAGAAACAAAGAAACAATGTTGCAACTTCCGCCAACTTTCTTACTTGCAACATTTTGCAAACTGTCACAAGAGCTTGTATTTGACGCTGTAAAGTAAAATCGATCCTTTATCGCTCTTTCGGTTCGACTTACATTCACTGTATGGATATAAAACTGTTCCTGTTCAAGTCCGTACAAAAATCCTGCAAAACAAATGCATACCGTAAAAGGTAGTGTAAAAAAGGTATAAAAGCAAATCATTATTCGCAACTTTGTATTAGCAAAATTTCAGTCAGTGTGGATTTTTTAATCTTCCCTGTTTTGCATGCATGTACGCTGCATTAATGCTATTATCTTTCAGACATCCCGGGGAGATCGTTTGCATTGGTTGCCATGCCTTAAACATATTACGTTGATTATTAAAAAGCAAACAAAAATTATGTTTATCAGCAAATTATACACGAAAGGCCGCGGCCGAAAATAAACTCGCGAGTTTTTAAAGAAGTGCATGAAAGGCTTTGAAAGCTATAGCCATTATCTTGTCATAGGTTACAACAAAACCTGAAAGTGTACATACACAGCCTAACTCAAAATACTTTGCTGAAGGCTGATCAGTTTTGATAAGTATAACATAATTATTAATATTACTTGAATCTTGATGTGAGCGAGAACCTGTATACCCTATATATACTTGTACTCACCAAGTGACAAAATGTCATAAAATTAGGTTTAACCATTTTTCTGTTTTCTTCTGATGTATAATATTATAATAATCAATAACAGCAAAAAAGAAGGAAAATAGTTTGCAGGTAATTTTGACAAGATTATCTCTAAACTAATTGAATGAAATTAATTGTGTGGTCAAACCATTTAGACGTCTGGACATTATGCATGCTGGGAAAAGCTTGCAAACCGACTTTCAGGCGCTGAATTAAGGATTCTTATGCATGGTACAGACAATGCTGGGGGGACATTCCCCCGGAGACCCCCCTAGATTGTTCGCACCTTCGCCGCTAAACCTGTCCCCCCCCCCACACACACACACACACTTTGTAAACCCTGGCTACGCCACTGCTCATCGTAATTGGCTCCCGCGTGTGAAACAAACCCAGCCACGTCTCAGTGTAGGTTAATACTGTAAATTCGTTTTGTTTGTAACGGCAAAATATTTAAATACATTTTATAAATTTTAACCCAGCTAGGTTTATTCATATAATTTTTTTGGAATATTTCAATTGTTATAATTTATAATTTATGACAAATTTTGACATAGACGGTAAGGTTGAATAGGCGTATTCCCGACAAAGCCGAAGTAAAACTTAGAAGTTCTGCTTGTATTTTTCAGGTAATTGAATCTCTCTCAATCCGCACAATCTCAATCAGCACAATCTCTCTCAATCCGCACAATCGATCTCTCAATCTCTCTCAATCCGCACAATCGATCTCTCAATCAACATCAATCTCTCTCAATCCTCACAATCGATCTCTCAATCAACATCAATCTCTCTCAATCCTCACAATCTCAACTCTCTCAATCAACATCACTGCTCTCTAAATCCGCACAATCTCTCTCAATCCTCACAATCGATCTCTCAACTGATCAACATCAATCTCTCTCAATCCTCACAATCTCAATCCGCACAATCTCTCTCAATCCACACAATCGATCTCTCAACTGATCAACATCAATCTCTCTCAATCCTCACAATCTCAATCCGCACAATCTCTCTCAATCCACACAATCGATCTCTCAATCAACATCAATCTCTCTCAATCCTCACAATCTCAATCCGCACAATCTCTCTCAATCCGCACAATCGATATCTCAATCTCTCTCCATCAACATCAATCTCTCTCAATCCGGACAATCTCAATCCGCACAAATCTCTCTCAATCCGCACAATCCGCAAAAGAAATGACAGTCGGTACTTGTCGGTGGACAGTCGACTCATTAACGGTTAATTTTGTAACCCTTGGCCACGTGCACCTTCGCTTCAGGAATTCCTGCATCAATTATACCAAAAACTATAAATTTTATAAAGGTCATGCTATATATAATTACTCGAGCCACTGAATAATTTTTGCAGGGACATGCAATGCAATTTCGGAGACATTGCCATGTCATTATGTCACAACGAAAATCGGTGAGCATGCGGCCGAAATTGTGAGCAATGCTGACACTCTTTCTTTACAAAACATACTCTTTAATACTGGATGAAAAATCGGCCGAGTAATGCGGCTTTTTATACTGTATGCACGTGCTTTAATGAATTACTCCTAAAACATATACTACTCATATTTCTCCTAAAACGTATGCTATATCTTATAATTAACATATCACTGGATATAACAAAGTCAAAGCTATATAAAAGTGAGTAAATAATTGGAAAAAGAACACCATATACAAAAACAACAACAACAATAACGGCATGTAGAACAACAATATGTCAACAAGTCAATAACAAAATGAAACACATGTACAATTCACAAATAATACATTCAACGCTGCATGACTGATGATTTAGTATATTTATTTATAATATAGCATTTGTAAATTCTGAATGCTGATTGACTAAGAACCGTGTTGATATAACTCAATGTCAACACGGAAACGTCGGAAAATTTCTTTCTTTATGTTTCTTCAGAGTTTCTTTGTGCTATATTATAAAACAGATATAAAACATTTTTGTTTTCACACAATTTCTCGTTTTCCCAATTTCCACTCGTGTTGATATAACTGTATATCAACACGTAAAATGTTTGATATTTGTTAATTATTATCGCGAGATAATTATTAAAATCTTTCAAAATCTTTTTGTGCGTACTCCTACGTAAATTAAACTAGACATAAACGCAAGGTGTCCTTATACCGCTTAAAGATTTAAGAGGTTTGTTTATCCGTTGAAGTTCGATCAGCCGTACCGCGGTGGCAAAGTTGCGCTATAATTGTGAATTTATTTCAAAATGACTAAACTTCTTTGTCTTGCCTGCAACGCGTATTGAGGTATAAAGGATTAACGTTTGCCATGAAGATTGTGACTAATTTTCTTTTCAAATTAAATCCTCTTTTTGGCGACATGCAGAGTTTCAAGTACTTCCACATGCAAGTATATTTATATAGAGATCTTTCATTCTCTCAGCACTTATGAGGTAAAGCCAAGCCAAAAGTATGACGGTCAGTACTCAGTATACACTAAAAATAACCGTTATATATAGCCCCAGTACTCAGTAGCATTTCCTTTTACCATATATATAGCGTGGATATATATGTGGAGTCATGGCATACAAAAATATAAATGATAAAAATGCACAAAGACAAATACTCCTAATATTGAACAACGCGTAATAAACTGACGTCATGCATTGCTGTGTGCATGGTATGTCGTATATAGCTATAGCTATTTATCATTGACACTCTCAAGTATAAGAGTCAGTTCAAGAACATATCGGCGCTATATATGCCTAATATAGCCTAGTATAGGCATGCACTTTCGTTCAACATGGTAATATACCAGCAAATATAAAACTAATGTTATTCCCAAAAAAGTATGCATTTTAACAACACATCTATTTTAAAAACTGTATATTTCGAATCTTTTTTGATTCAAAATATATTCGCAATATACAGTTTTTAAATTATACATGTATAGATGTGTTGTTAAAACGCATTCTTTTTTTTCGGAATAACATTAGTTTTATAGTATTTCGGCTGAAACTATCGGCCGCGCGGTAAACTGAGGATTATGCATGCAGTATTCCATTTTTCTCAAATTATAAGAATACATGTAGTTCAAATGGCCTTGGCAGGATGCTTCCAATTTAGTTTATAAAAACAATTAGCGACTATAACAAAACAGTGCCATATTCAGCCATCTGTCAATATTCGATCTTATGTAAACAACAACATTGTTTTAAGTCTATAAATAATAAAAAGAAGTTGTTTGAAAATATGAACTTCGACGGTCTTCGTACTTTTATTGAAGTACATATAGTGCATGAGTAAAAAACAATAAACTTTAACTAGATTCTTTCTTAAACTGGCTGTCAATTTTTAATTTGTCGTGACCATATGTCCATAACTCATCGAAGTCACGGTCGCGAATCTGAAGTACGCTGCCTGGCTTTAGTTTTATAGTGTTCTAGTATCGTCGCTATAACGGCCACCTTGCCCTTGGCGTGCACGCGACCGCAAAGCCCAAATAAATCCATTGGCACTAGGCTATACAAATTCTTGAAAAGTGTTCCTATACCAATTGGCAAAGGCGAAGGAATCGATCCTGCGGTCATGTATGTTTATGATATAAATTTAAATTTAACCTGACGTCAGTAGTGTATATCAAACCAACAAAGAAAATGGGCAAATATAATTGAACAAAGGCAAAGGCAAAGCCGTGCGGGAATAATTATCATGGGTCTTAGCATAGATAGGCACGTGTAACGGCAAACAAAAAACGTCAGGGCGAGTTCGGCGAGGCCAACTTTCATTTTAACTACGTTGCAAAGCAAGTCAATTGTTTGCCAGCTGCTTGGAGCGCGTTAAATCAATTATCGTTAAAAAGCATTTTTTATGTGATCAGCATACACATATTCTAATATTGCCTTTTAAAGTCGAAAGAAGAGTCTATTTCTCGCAAATTTAATCGTGTGTTTGGATTTGAGAAGAAAAGAGTTTGGGATTGTGAAAGCGCGGGCAAATATTGAAAGCAGGTTAATGTATAATCCTTATGTCGTAATGATGACAGCTTCAAGCCTTCAGACGTCGTTACTCAGATATGAGGTCAAGTTGAAATGTTGATAGGACATCCTCGCATCCGCCTGTGACGATAGCTTTTAAGTCATCACTTTCGACTAGCTAGTGAATATTTCGCAGTTGATTCCTTGAATTTCCGTCAGCAACAATGGCCAGAACGTATTACTGATTGGTAAAGGTTTTAGATTTCATCAGAAGGGGAAAAATTTGGGGAGCGCGTTTTTCAGCCTGAAGACGGTAAGGGTTAAATGATTAATATTCAAATACCTTTCATAAGTTTCATTATATAGTCATGTGCTTATCATGCCTTGTTTTCGCATATTGCAAGATTTATAGGAATGATATATATTAAGATCACATATTAAATACATCAAACATGCATGGGTTATTTAATAGCGTTGTCTGTTTATCTATAGTCTATAGGAAAAAGGTTGGTATATATAAGTACTTCAAAGTTTCGCGACGGCCTTTATTCTTTTCTGTGACGGTTTCTGAAGAGTCAAATTCAATTTCAAACCAGAATTTCATTGTTCTATTACAAACTGATGTATGTCTCGTCGTTGGCCTATTTCAGCCAGTTCAGTGATTTAGCCTGGGCCTGGGGTTTAGTGATCAAGATGAATAGTAACGGCAAAGCTTCACGCACTCTGTACGGTATGGATAAAATAATTGTCAATTTTATTCCAACAATAATAATATGCTAATATCCTGCATATGAAACTTGCTTGTCGTGAGGAAAAACAGGTCAATGCCATTGTCGACAATGCGTATATACGCGCTTAGCGTTTTTTCTACCGCATGGTTTTCTAACCATAATTAGCTCTCTGTGATCCGGGAAATATAGCCCTTGGGTATATGTATTGAAAGAAAAGGCAAATCAATGGGAAATAATTTAATTTTTATAGTTGAGTCCAAATTTCCCGGTCTTAATTATATCCTGCATTTGTCATATCATATATTGCTAATATAATACAGTTATTTTATGTTGCTCGCGCGCATCGTTTAATTTCAAGGTTTTAAATATAATTTACTGAATTAAACACCGGCATATATACCTGTCCTTTTACAGTGTTTTTACGTTCATAGGAAAAATGAATGTAATTTGTACTTCATGCATTAAAGATTACAGTAAAACAAGGTTTTCTGGTTTATTGAAAAGTTCTAGATAGAGTTTTGAGAGGTCTTGATGAAGATTCAAGTTTCCTGTTTATTTATACCATTGCATGCGCCGTCTTTGTGCCGAGACACTCGTATAGTGTTTCGTTTCCTGCAGAGTAGAGACTGAAGTCTTTTAATTCACATTGTTTTTGAATTACGTACTGTAAATAGCAGCCGATGTGTCATCCAAGAGGAGCCACATGATGATTCCTCTTGACTTGGATGAAATAGTAGGCTGTTGCATGTGGCAACCTTTTGAGGTAAAACAACTAATCTGCTCTATCTATATTTATATGATAAGTGATATCGAGCACTCTTTAGCATTTCGTGAACCAAACCACATTCGTAGGCCTATATGATTTAATTCGCATTTTATGATTTTATTTCAAAATCATTGTCAAACTTAGCTATATAGGCTACTCCTGTAATAGTGCATTTACCCCATTTAGCTACAAAGTGAGGTGGTATATTTATATGTGATCCAGCATATAGTATATATCGTGTCTTCTTCCTTCTTGGCACTTTCCCGATATATGAGAAACTGAAATCTAATATACTATAAATGGATTTGGGGTTAGGGTTAGGTTCAGCATAGGGTTGTACAGTACCTATATATGGATCGAGAAAGCGCCGTCTTCTTGTGCAGTTCAATATAGTAACTCAAATTTTGAACCCACTGACAAGATGCCATTATCAGTCGACAGTCGGAAAGCAAAATACTTGAAACAAAAAAAACGCTATAGCTATAGCTTCTAGAGTAGACGATCAAGGGCCTTCGATCTCTCGAGACTTCAGTTTTCGATCTCTCGAGACTTCATCGAATGTCTTCAGTTTTTTCCTATATAGGTTTATTGTTTACGAATAGGTATAGCTATAGTTTTTAAACTTATATTTTAAACAAGAGGAAAATTTGGCCAGGTTTTGCTGTTTTGTCTGTATTTCTACGGTAACTAACCCATTGAAATGTTTTATTTAGACACTAGAATCTGTCCTGAAAGAAACCAGACTAACCAAACACAATTATGAGTAGAACATTCCTGCCCGTACTGTGTTATATCCTATTCGTCAGCATCGTTATCCCTGGAATTTCTCATGCTTTGAATGGTAATGTTACACTTATTTTGTTACCTAAAACTATACAGATCAAGCTGTGATGAAAAACGAAAATAACCTGATATTTTTTATATATTGATAATTTTCTAGAAACAATTGAATCCGGAAATATGAAAGACATGTTTCGTGCACCGTTTAGACTAGCAGGAAATGGAAACACGGTAAACTATAAAATTCCTATTGATATATATTTGGGAATAAGTTTGTGCGTTTTGATTGTATTGCAATAGATGATTGATTATACTGATGACTTGTACAATAATATTGAAAAGTCACAAGCTTATCAGTTCTCGCCTTGTTTTAATTCATATTTTGCATCTCAAGATGCTAATCTTCGTATTGTGCTGAGGGGAAATCATTCCAAATCCAAAGTCAGTGAAAATGCCAAAAAGGGATACAAATTATTGAAATTCTTAAATTGGCACGTAGTCCATTGATTAAACTCACTAAAGATGGTCCAAAACACAATCACACTGAGCTAGAAGCTTGTAATGTAATTAACCGGCCATGTGTGTACATGCGGTGTGTATGTAAAACTGAGGGTAATCCAACTTTGGCGTTTTAAGATTGACGTTTACGGCACTAACCGCAAATGGCAAACTTCAAATCGTAATTTGAAGTCAACTGTTAACTGTTCAAAATTAGGGCAACTTGTGCACTAAAATTGACTGAGCATGAATTAGCTACTTTTAGCTGTCGATACTGTAGGCCTTACTTTCAAATGCGATTTGAAGTTTGCCGTTTGCCCTATGGAACAGATTATTTCACTGGCCTCAGAGTGACAAAACGTAAAGCCTGGTTCACATTCATCGTAAACATCGGCGATGCCCATTGTCGGTAGTTATTGATGCAGAAAATGTTTTTCTTCTTCGTTGCTCACAGACAATGGATCGCAGAACATCGCCGATCAATGTGAACCAGCCTTAAAGCCTAGTTCTCATTCATCGCAATCTGTCACCGACGATCGGCGACGCTTATCGCCGATACTCGCCGAGCGCGAATGCACGAAGTTCTCATACATCGGTGATCGTCGCAGATGACAGCCGATGTGTTTCGAAATTTCCCAAATTTCCCACAAAATGGGCCCATTCAACGTAAAGTTCATGATTTCTGTCAAACTTCAGTTGATTATTTCCTTGCTTGTTGAGGAAAAATCAACTTTTACTCATTTCTCATAGATTTTTTAAGCAGGTGGCAGTCGGCGATGGTCGCAAGAAACAAACTTTTTTGTTTCCTGCGATGTCATCGCCGATGGTCGGCGACGATTACGGACAGTCGGCGATATAATTTTTTATGTGTTCTCATAAATCGCAAGCCGTCGCCGACGTCGCAAAGCTCCCGTCGCCGACGGTTTACGATGAATGAGAACTAGGCTTAACAAAGCAACGGTTTTACTAACACTAACCCTACTCCAAACACCAACTCTAACCCTAACCCTGATCCTTACCCTATAACTTAACCCTACTCCAAATTCGTTTCTAAACCAATTTTGAAGAAAAAGGTTTTGATGAAATGTCAGTCTGGGGTCAGCGAAATAGTTGATGCCTTGCCCTATTTCATGTCAGTTGCCAATAACGATTATGGAGGGGTGGAAGCGCAACAGTTTTACTTCAATATTCCTACCTTTTGTGCATAACTTAATACTATTTCTTGTCAAACAATACTGAATAAGCTTGAAACAGAAGTGTTCACATTTATCAACAATTTAACAGAAAATTTTAAACCGACTGACTTCCAATATTACGTTGAAAAACTGCTATTGGAAATGGAAAAATTTCCTTTTTAATGATACAAAATATATCTTTGGACAGCTAAGACTGAATTTGCTTCTGCAGTTTGAAATTTTGTATCGATAAACACAATATCTCTAACGCTTGCGGAGATGCTAAAATTGAACTATCTTTTTTCGATAACACTTTGTTATGCGAAATAAAATGCTTAATATAGCTAGCTTGTGATTCTGCTCATCAATGGAACCGTTATAGTCAATTGTCATTTGTCCATAATCTTTAAACGAATAAAATAGTTAAAATAATTTAGTTTTGTGTATGATTTCAAGTGTATTTGTTCGGGTAATTAATTAGAAAGATTTATTAAACTTTTCCGTGCGTATATATATATATATATATATATATATATATATATATATATATATATATATATATATATATATATATATATATATATATATATATATATATATATATATATGTACGTGTAAAAAACACGTAACGTTAAAGCAGCTTTTAGAGAATTATATTTATACTATAGTGAAAGAATGAACATGTAAATTTTATGTAAATCAGCAGGTTTGTATCAGTTTGTATCAGATATTCATATACTATATATGGCGCGCGCGTTTCATTTAATGGCCAGACCAGTTAGACCAGAATTTGTTTTTGTATTATCTGTCCCAGGCTTCTCGAACATCTAGCGAAAATGGACCTCCTTCTATAAATTTGATCCAAATTTTCTGTCACATCGTTTCGAAGCACATACAGTTTGTCAAGCTTCTTGATAATTTCCTTTACGTAATCATATCCTCTGTATATGGTCAAAAGGAATGTTCCTATATTCAGACGGATTCATACTTTTTCGTTATAGTGGAGAAAAGTCGAAAAAGACGGTTACGTGGAATCTTGTAGTGAAGGAGGGAATTTCGGCTTTATCACAAAGCAGATCAACATCAAAGATGCATTTGCCGACGTCATTTATGTTGCCATAGAAACAAGTTTTTCGACGGAAAATATATACAACAATTCCCTGGGAATTTATCTCTATAATGGGATGGCCCAACCACCTGCTACTAACCAGAAGCCCGCTATTGGGCATTTTTTCCTTCAAAATTTTTCTCTTATATACATTTTGAAAAACAGCACAGCATCAGCAAGGAATGGCGTAAAGTGGACTCATATTTTTAAATTTCATAAAAACTACTCGAGCAAAATAATCCTAGCAGTGAAAGGAGTCGGTGTATGTGCACGAGTTTATAGTATGAAGGTTTACTACTATTATTGCGGAGAAAAATACTCTAAAGGCGTAAGGTTTCCAAAGACTGTGTCCCCTTTTGAGGGATGGAAAAAAGTAGAGGCAAATTGTTCGTTGAATTCTTCGCCGTCAGATCAAAGGAAGACAACGAGCGGATTTTGTGGACATCATGGAACATGGAATATAAGCATGGGTATGGGATGCTTTTGTAAGAAAGGATTTGAACAGAATTCTTTGAAGAACTGTACACGTAAGTTGGCTTATATATAGCGAATCTTAAACAGATAGCGAAACATTGTTGCAAAGATATGCTTCTACCTATGCTTCCCAAACGTGCAAGCAAGCCAACCTTTCTGTTTCTGAGCATGCTTTCTGAATGTCGGAAAACAGAAAACATTGTCTCGCTATATTGAAAATCACGCGTGGAAAACATTTTTTTCTGATCTTTACCTAAGCCGTTCAGATGTGCAGGGCAGACCTGGAAACAATTTTTTGGTTGTCTTCGCCTATATGTTTCGCAAACGTGCAGGGCAAGTGAGGAAACTTTGTTTTCTAGCGGTTAGGGTAATTGTTTTCTAGACATGCATGTTTCCTGAATGACGGAAAACATGTATAGTTCTCATGTGTTTCCTAGAAAGCCAGGAAACATTGCCTCGTTAAAAAATCACACGTGCGAAACAACTTTTTGGGAATATCATATATGATTGGTTCATCTATACAATGTTTTCGAGTGTGGGCACAAATGACCATCCGACCCTTGGTTTTTGATTACTAAACAATAGTTTATAAGCAGACTTCAGAGAAATATAACATTGCTATTTATTCCTACAATCTAGCTTGTCCATCCGGTCAATTTAAACCAAAGTCTTCCAACGAGTCATGCCAAACCTGCCCAAACAAAAGCAACAACACCGTGGACAGAACAAGCTGTAAATGCATGGAAGGTTATTTCCATTCCACACCCAAAGCAGTTCCAACCACTGCCCCATGTTTTGGTAAGTTTGCATGAAAAAACACTACTTGTTACTCAGTGACTACTTATTTAGGAACTTAAATTTTATTAATTTCAACGTGGCAAAACAATTTTGAAATAAAAAAAAATAATAATCTGGGTGGACTTTTTTTCTGGGCGGGAGGGGACGATCATATGGAAACAGCCTTTCCTTTAGCGAGTTGTAGCTATGAATTATTTATTGCCTGACCCAAAAATTGATGGAATGTACATTTCTGAGAATTTTCCTTCTAAATTATAAACGTCTTTAATTTCACAGGTCCAATTACAGAAAAATTAAAAATGAGAATAAATAAATTTCCCAATAAAACAGTCAAATTAACTTGGAATGCTGTGAAGGTGGATGAAGAAATAAGATACTCCCTTCATTATGATGTTCAATGCTTCATGTGTGATCGGGAAGGGAGAAAGTGCCACATGGCATGCGAAAATGCACGTTACCAACCAAGACAAAATAACGTGACCGAAACCTTTGTGGACGTTTCAAACCTCCATCCAGACCATCGATATAAATTTAGGGTATATCCAAAGACTGTGATAAATAGATTTATTGGGAGAGTTAACTGGAGTTATAGTGAGACTGAGCTGTTTCAGGTGCAAGTTGAAGGTACGTAGACAGAGCATCTGCAGTTATACTGTATACGAATAGCCCATAAAATTAAGATAAAAACTTTAAGATTGCATTATTAAGATCACTTTGTAATCAACCTGTCTTGTCCAACTAAAATTATCGTAACATTCTGAAACGAATGCAACATCAGTTGAGATGTTTTTCTTTCCCAAAATGCATGCTTGCATGTTTGTTTTTTTCAAATTCCACTATATTTGCATATTTTTTATCTTCCATCCCCCCCCC